TCTCCGACTCAGAGGAAAAAGTATTGGTGCCTTTATTATTCTTTTGTTCCATTCTTTGTTTCTATGGGGAATTTGCCAATGCAATATTGCTGTCTTCCTTTTAAACAAATAAAATTAAAAAAGCAATGGCTGTTGAAAATAGCAATTCCAGTCCTAATAACCACTGGGAAGCATTTCTTGCTCAATTTATTCTACTTTTTCTACAGCAAGTTACAGTGGATCTGTATATTTGATTTGGGAGAAATGAAGTAACAGCTGCCCAAATTGAGCTTGAGCACTCCTGAATTTTGAGGGTGTTCAAATCTGGCAGGTGCTGGATTCCCTCTCTGAATATTAGCTAAATCTGGAAAGAAAAGTCAATTTCTGCTTCCATGGCTCAGAAGTATAAATCCTCCTATGTGCCTGGTATTGTATCTAAAGCTGCCCAGGTCCTAGTAGAGCCTCCCCTCTCTTACTTTTGGTTTTAAATTCTAGTGGGATCTCCCTTGCTAGGCTTCAGATAGAGAGGTGCACTGTCCATTTAGTCCACCCAATTCTTTCTTTGGGGGAGAGCCCAGGGCTGGGGTGGCAGGAGGTGCAGGTGGGGGGAGAAGAGCCCAGGGCTGGGGCAGCACGAGGGTGCAGGTGGGGCCAGAGCTAGGGCAGCAGGAAGTGCAGGTGTGGGCGGGAGAGAGTCCAGGGCTGGGGCAACACAGGGGTGCGGGGGAGAGCCCAGGGCTCGGGTAGGGGGCAGCAAAAAACCTAGAGCTGGCTCTGTCCCTACCATTCACAGCAAGCCACAGCATGGGGTTTCAGTTCCACACTCCTACCCGCTCCCTTTCCTGTTAATTGCGGCCGAGGGAATGCTGGGAAATGTAGTTCTTTCCCTGCTCCAGGGCGGGCTCTATAGGCAGGGAGCTAACCAAGGAACTACAGCTCCCAGGGCCCCCTGTTGGTTCTCAGCTCCCAGGCTGGATTCCTGCGCCCCTGCAAATTTGCCCCCCCAAGCACCTGCTTGCTTTGCTGGTGCCTAGAGCCGGCCCTGCCCACAAGCCCCATGCTGCCTCAGGTTCCGGTAATCCTGTGACTTACAATCAGCTGCAGCTGGGCTTGCCAGGTTCTGATGGGTACTAATAACAGGGAAATAGCTGACAAAGTCTTTTCCTCCATCCCCTCAGCCAGAGGGCGTGCAATCGCTGCCTCAGCAAAAAGAACCGAACCAAAGCTGCACCAACTTAACTTAAATTGGGTCAAGAAATGATTTAGCTAAACTGGAGCAAAGTCTCTGTAGACATTTATTTTATTATTTATTTATAAGGCTGCTGGTGTGTGGAGACCGTGGCCTATCATGCTGGCAACTATTGTCACAGAGTTTCCTGGTCCTCTCCTGTCTATCAGAACCCATCTGTTGTCCCTTGTCTTCTACTTAGGGTCTCCTTGTTCTGTATTTGTACAGCACCTAGCACAGCAGGGGTCCTCATCCATGACTGCTGCTTCTAGACCCTATGATAGTACAAATAACACAATCATAGAACTGGAAGGAACCCCGAAAGGTCATTGAGTCCAGCCCCCTGCCTTCACTAGCAGGACTAAATACTGATTTTGCCCCAGATCCCTAAGTGGCCCCCTCAAGGATTGAGCTCACAACCCTGGCTTTAAGTAGGCTAATGCTCAACCCACTGAGTTATCCCTCCCCGACAACAGGGGCTTGTCTAACCTGCTCTTAAAAATCTCCAATGATGGAGACTCCACAACCTCCCTAGTCAATTTATTCCAGTGCTTAACCACTCTGACAGTTAGGAAGTTTTTCCTAATGTCCAACCTAAACTGCCCTTGCTGCAATTTAAGCCCATTGCTTCTTGTCCTATCCTCAGAGGTTAAGAACAACATTTTTTCTTCCTCCTCCTTGTAACAACCTTTTACATTCGTGAAATCTGTTATCATGTCCCCTCTTAGTCTTCTCTTTTCCAGACTAAACAAACCCAATTTTTTCAATCTTCCCTCATAGGTCATGTTTTTTAGACCTTTAATCATTTTTGTTGCTCTTCTCTGGACTCTCTCCAATTTGTCCACATGATCATCCTTCCTCAAATGTGGTATCAAGAACTGGACACAATATTCCAGTCGAGGCCTAATCAGCACAGAGTAGAGCAAAAGAATTACTTTTCATGTCTTGCTTACAACAATCCTGCTAATACATCCCAGAATGATATTTGCTTTTTTTGCAACAGCGTTATACTGTTGACTCATATTTAGCTTGTGGTCCACTATGACCCTCAGATCCCTTTCCGCTGTACGCCTTCCTAGACAGTCTTTTCTCATTTTGTATGTGTGCAATTGATCCCAAAATGATGTTTGCTTTTTTTGCAACAGCATTATGCTGTTGACTCATATTTAGCTTGTGGTCCACTATGACCCTCAGATCCCTTTCCGCAGTACGCCTTCCTAGACAGTCATTTCTCATTCTGTATGTGTGCAACTGATTCTTCCTTCCTAAGTGGAGTACTTTGCATTTGTCCTTATTGAATTTCATCCTATTTACTTCAGACCATTTCTCCAGTTTGTCCAGATCATTTTGAATTTTAATCCTATACTCCAAAGCACTTGCAGCCCCTCCCAGCTTGGTATCATCCACAAACTTTATAAGTGTGCGCTCTATGCCATTATCTAAATCATTGATGAAGATATTGAACAGAACCAGACCCAGAACTGATCCCTGCGGGACCCCACTCGTTATGCCCTTCTAGCTTGACTGTGAACCACTGATAACTACTCTCTGGGAACAGTTTTCCAACCAGTTTTGCACCCACCTTATAGTAGCTCCATCTTGGTTGTATTTCCCTAGTTTGTTTATGAGAAGGTCATGCAAGACAGTATCAAAAGCTTTACCACATCTACCGTTTCCCCCCATACACAAGGCTTGTTTCCCTGTCAAAGGAAGCTATCAGGTTGGTTTGACATGATTT